TAAAAAATTTAGAGTAGCAAGTATTAATCTCTTTTCCTTGGTAATCTTATTAATATTGAAAAAATATATATATATATATATAAAGATTAGAATGGAGAGAGAGAGACACACAGAGAGAGAGAGAGACCTAGAATGTGTCTTTTGCGCTAATATAATATTAAGTATCAATCATTCATTGACTTTTCTTTTTCTTTACTTACAATTGATCATTAATTCATTTTGCATACTCTCAAAACATTAAACTCGTGGTTTGGGATTGCATCGTATATTTCATGAATTTTCACAAAAAAAATGATCTACACAAATTATGGCATGCATCTAGGTATTTAGTGTATACACTATCAATTTAATTTAGATTAATATTTTTTTATACCATCCATCCAATATTTGGGAGCATCACTAAGTGTTGTTAATACACATTTTTCATCTATTAAATTCCTTTTGTGTCTTACTATTAAGAGTATTTAATATTTCCTCACATATATAAAAGTTACGGTTTCTTGAGTAGTTTTGTTAATTAATTATTTACCAATTACTCACCCTCCTTTCTGTGCCTTTCTTTTGTTTTTAAGCACTTCATTTGTAAATTTTCAGTTAATGTTAGTAATTACCAAATAAGTAAATACCGTACAAAAATCACCATATCATAAAAATTCTTTTACAAATTAAATTTCAAATTGAAAAACCAATTTTCATGAAAAAATACATTTTTAAATGACCATAAAATTAATTATTTCTACATACATAGGGAAACTTAATGCAACAGTGGTAGAATTTAAGTGATTCTTTGACTTTGTTCTTTTATTTATTTATTTATTTATTGCTTAAGTTTATCAATTATTGATCCATTTTTCACTCTCTTATAATATTAAGTTTAAAAAAATTAGCATCTACACCAACCAATTTATATCAATGTTGCTGTCCACTGCTTCAGGTAATATAAACTTTGCCGGTTACCTTTGGGACCCAAACAAATAGACAAAGATGCCTATGCTGAGTTGTCATCTTAGCAATAGTTCTGCCTACGGTGCATAGTTGATCCGACTTTCCACCGTAGAAGCAACCATATGTCCATTCCATAATTGCCTTTGTAGGTTTATACACTTTAAAAAGATGTAGTATAAAAGTAGGCTTTCTTTCTTTAACTATAGGGACAATTTAAAAAACCTCTATAGAGGTTTCTGATAATTTCATTTAGTAACTTTGAGGTTTTCAATATTATATTTACCTTTCTTGATTCTATAAAATGATTATAGTAACCTTAACATATTAATATTTTTCATACAATTAAACAATCCGCTCCTAATCTTGTGCATATGAATTCATCACATAATTAGACATTTAATGAAAATAGAAACAAGATTTACTTGTCGAATAGCCAATTATGTCCTAAACACAATTTGAACATATTACAAATTAATTTTAGCTTTGCTTGGAGGATCTAAATATAAATAGAAGAAGATGTAAGTTGAAAGTTTTAAAAAAGAAAGGGGTGGGGCCGATGTTGGCAACATTTGAAGGATGGGATATTCTATTAATACAGTTGGTGAAGTTTTTTGAGTTTAACAGTACTGTTGATTTATCTTTTTTTTCTTTTTTAACTTACATTGAGGTTTTAGAATTTAGGAAATAATGATGGTGGTGGTCATGGTGATAATGCTACTTAATATGAGATGTGGGAATATAAAATAGTAAAGCTGAGCGTTGAAAGTGAGTTTGAGATTTTATACATATTTCATTTTAAGAATTTTATTGAAAGGTAATATGAACTTTATAATATTATGAGGGCATTTTGGATTATTCATTCAAAATTTTGACCATTGAATAGTTTTTGTTACCAAAACGGTAAACTTAAGGGATATATGTGTAATTTTTGAAATCTTGATGGAGCTAGGTAAAATTGTTAAAAAACTCGAGGGAGGTTTCTGAAATTATCCCTTAACTATATTAACTAATACTTCTTCCATTCAAAAAAAAAAAAAACACTTCTTAATTTGTGTAAAAATAGAAATAAGTCTATTTTTTATGGGAAGCCGAAATCCTTGGTCTATGGGAAAAAAATGTATACCAAGATCACTAAAATGAGCAAATGCTTGTACCCATTAGATAGCACAAGCAAGAATCCTTTGGTCCACGAGTCTTGCGAAATGGTTTATGACGACACAAGTAATTGATCAAAGTAAGACCTTGCTTTTATTCACTTTTTCCTAATGACTTTTTAAGACCTCCAAAAGAATTCACTCGCATTGCAAATGAATTAGGGTACATCGACTCACTATTCCTGTGCATCTCAAAGTGCGCATATTTTACTTCTAGTTGATCACTTGAAGATGGGCTTGTAGGGTTGGACCGAAGAAGCAGTTGGAATTGTTTCCACCTTGTGATTTCCACATCTGTAGTCATGAGAAGAAGTCCTTTCAGTATTCAATCTTAAACTAGCCTTGGGAAATCAATATGACTTGAAGAGTCTCAAATTCTCATTCGGTTGTTGTTCATGAAGATGGCAGGCCAAATCCCACTAGGGCTCCAACTAGGTGATCTTTAATTGAGCTTTGGGCCTTTGGTCATCCATTCAAAGGTAGCCTCCACTGTTCTCTCAAACGATCTGCATAGTACTATGTTAAGTACAGAAATATACAACTGTGCCTCCTTAGGTCCGGTGATGGTTCAGTCCCCTCCGAGTTATTTCTGGACCTCCTTAGATCCGCTCCCTCCCCCTTAATATAAAATAGATTAGGTTATACAACTGTTGTCGTCTTAAAAAAAAAAAAAAGAAAAAAAAAGTACAGAAATATACACTCTTGAATAGCATAACTTCCCAACCAAAATTTTGTGTAAATTAGGTAATTGTTTAAGATTTTCGATGATGAATGTGTTCAACGTATGATTCTTTATTATTATTTTTAAACTTTTGAGAATTGTGTTAACTCTAATTATAATCAGAATTTGCGATTCGCGCTGCGAATTATTTCCTTGTTGTGTTTGAATAAGGGATGCGGAGAGTGAATTTTAATTAACACGTTACACATTCATAGAGCTTTTATGAAATATATGTATCGACCAATTTTTGGTATCACAGAGGATGCAACAAGGGTTTCCTTTGAAAGAGCACGTCAATTTGAAAAGTTGCTTCTATATAATCACATACAATCTTTCTTTTTTTTAAAAAATTTTTTTTTTGGCTCTATCATGATTGAATGTATCGATGGAGTGTAAGACCTGTTTTGTAACCAAAACACCTTCTTAATGCATCCTATCAAATCAAACGTGAATAAATCCATAGGAGAAAACCCATGAAAACCATAACGTGCCACCTACTTAATATTGTATCAGCGGTCATAATATGGGTCCTTAATGCTGGACTCCTTTTCCTTTTTTTCTCGAGGATGATCATTTTGATGGGGTACTCAAGCTGCAATTCACGTTATCAAGCAATCCTAGAAACTTGACTGAAGAACCATAAGGAAAACATTTCAGTGGATAGACCTCTGCTGAATATTGAACTGAAGCTTCATTTGAGGATATCCAATGAAAGACATAAAATTGCAGTGGAATGGCAATTCCGACTCAGGCAAAGCTCGATCAAACTAAACTAGGCTAATTCAATTAGCTCTTTCGAAATATTACTCTAAACGTACTGTTAGAAAACCAACTCTAAAATTTCAACCTGAATTTCAAGTTCAGCAGGAAATGAATCTGAGAAAATTAAAGGGCCTTTTGATTAACTGGTTGGAATTGATCGACTCAACCAATATTATACCTCTACCATGATCGAACACCCTAACTATCTTCACATGGACAAGGAAAGGCCACTGTCAAGCATCAATCATTAAGGTGAGGCAAAAACCAAAAGAAACACTATCAATTGGCTAATATTTGAGCAAGCAGAATAAAGTTCCCATCATGCATTATTATTTCGTTTACTCAAATACACACCACAACTAAAATGTTCTAAATTCAGGTAGCTTTGGCTTTTCTTTTTTTTTTTTTATTAGGTTTTCATCTATGATTGATCATTCCAAAGAGTACCACGTTGTAGACCACCTTAATTTATTTGTAGTTTGAACTTTAGTCAGCTTTAGCTTTAAGAAATCACAAAACAAGGTTTGAATTATGGAGATAAAACCAAAAGCAAAATATGTATGTGGGCCTGTGGAGGGGCTGATAAACATCCAAATTCTCCTATCTAATAAAAAAGATGAATGAATCCTAATTAAAAAAAGTTGCTTCTTCAGAAATGTATCAATAGAAAATATGCAAAGCAGTTGCATTCTTGCTTATCCTGTCTTTTGGTTCCTCAGAATGCCGAAAGCTCCAAAGAAGTCAGCCTATAATATTAGCTGTTGCATCGATTCGCATAATCAGAACAGCCTCAAAAGGGGACAGAATGCCTGTTTTGCAGCTTCAGAAAGTGATAAAGATGAAGTTGTAAAGGTGTAGTACCAGCTACTACTGCGCCTCATGTACTAGCTAGTGTTGCTACTCCATGAAAAAATTTAATGCTATAACGGCCTATCAGTATTATTACCAAAGCTTTCATAATTGTTGTTTCTCGAATGAAAGACAAGAAAAGGCTCACAAGTACATTTGACATTGAAAGATCGTAGAACGGAGATCACGTTTTATGTCCATTTGGCTATTGCCAATACGAAACTCAGATAATTACTTAACCTGTGCATACTCCTCTATGCGTAACCTCCTAAAATGAACAAAAAGGAAATCCTATAATGGAGTCTTAAAGCCAGTTTGCATCATAAAATTTGACATCAGTACTAAGGTTTTCTACTATCTAATTGAAGAGTAGGCAATGAATTGATAAGGATTTTGTCAGTATGTCCTCTAACTTAATGTACATTAAACCCTCTTCATCAAATAGATTTTGGCAAATTAGACGCAGAATAAAAGTGTTTTTGTCTGTTATTGAGTCTTAACCCTCTATTGTCCAGTCCAAAATCAAACCAATTTGCAGTTTATTGATGAGCAGAAACAACTGACGAAGAAGGCGAAAAAACCAGCATATTAATTCCATAACAAGTATAACTCCAATAGTTGATATTTTTCACTCGATTAAATCTGTTTTTAAGATGATCATCATCAATCAATTGAGCAACAATTATACTCAGTTCAATCACATACCAAGGCTGCGAGAGCCACTGGCATACAAGATAGAGGGACCTTAATCTGACCTTTCTGTCCATGTTTCCCTGCCTTTTGAGCTAGACATGATGATCATTTGAACAAGAAAAGTCACGAAGAAGACTCAGAAACAGCCTCAGCAACACTACTTTCCACTTCTTTCCTATGGAAGTTCCTGTGGCAGCCACAAGCAGCACATGTTAGCGCCCCACTGGTTCCCTCTTCACCGCTTGCCATGAACTCCCTGCATCCATCCACAGCATATCCTCCCAAGCTTGCTGCATGGTTCTTCTGGCACTCTGCATACCTCACAGTCCTCACCGCTGAGCCACTCGAGCATCTTCGAGATCCCTCTTTCCTCACTACTATTTGCCTCTTCTTCATGCTTCTTCTCGATAACCCTAGTTGATCCTCCTTTGTCTTAGTTTCTTCTGCTGTGGATGAGGAGGAAATTAAGTTAGGAGAGTGAGCTTATATTATTGGTAAGTTTTTGAAAAGGAAAAAACTGAGCCTAGCTAGTTTAGTAGCACCCAAATGGTAGTAGTGGTGGTAGTATTAGAATAAAGGAAGAAGTTTTGAGTAGGTTGGCACCTTAACCTAACCCTAAGTTTGTATATTTATATAGTCAGTTTCCACACTTTAGAAGTAGAGGGTAGAAGGTCCACAATGGGGCTAATTGGCTTACTCAATCATTGTTAATTTGTTGTAGATTTCCTTCATTTTTTTTTGTTGTTTAGGCGCAGATCCTCTTCAATGCATCTTGGACCACTTCCTTAGGCCACTAGTTTCATAATGCCACGTTACTGTGGAAAGGTACATTCATTAAATATTTGGTCCAAAATTTTGAAGGGACTAAGATCTAAGAGTTTGACAATTATCTCCGTTAAAGAGAGTGATGCCCTCAAAAGGATCGACTAGGGTGTTGAGCAGGATTCATGTTTCCATGCCATTTTGTTACCTCATGAGCATAACAAGTTGGCCAGTTTGGACCGAATGTTACACTCAGAACTATTCGATTCGAAAGCATCAATGTAAGTTACGATAAGTTTTTGAATAAATCTTATATACACTGACAATGTATAGACTATCACAGTTGCATGCATGACACATGTATAAAATTTGGGTTTCAAATTTAAATTCGAATTATATGTCATACATTCAATAATGAAAGTATATATACTGTCAGTGTATAGAAGATTAATTCTAAGTTTTTTAAGTCAAATAGCAACTTAAACTTAAAAAAAAAAAAAAAATTTGATGGATCCTAGTCTTAGGCCAATTTCCAAGTCAAAAAATTCTCTTATTCGATCGTATGAATTGCAATTTGTCTAGCGAAGTTCTTTGCAAGTGAAGCCATTTTCTTTTATCTAGTTCTGTATACATTCTTTTCGTTGAATGCACTGTTTGTTTAGAACCAATGAATGTAGTTCTCTTTCAAATGGTAAAATATACGTACACGTATAGACATGAGAAGACCCTTATCCTCAACTTAAACCATTGCAAACCCTAGAATGACCATCCGGAAATGATGGTTCACCTGCCTAACACATTTCGTGGAAAAACAAAAGACAGCCAACTCCGTGTCAATAAAATCCAACTCAACCTGATGGGAAAGTTTTACTTTAGTAATAGCAAAAAGTGATTGATTTACCTCTAATTCTTCAATTTGTGGGTCCTAAATTGTGTTTAAAAGACAGGTTTACCATGGCCCTTAAGACTGTGGCAACAACTCTTGTCTAATTTCTCATTTCCTTGTGACTGAGTAGACTGCCCGCCCAACGTGCGGAGGAATCAACACGTACCCTTTCACTCAAAAAGTCTAATGATCATCAAATCAAATGATCCCATATTTCAAGAACAATGTAACAACTTTCAAGTCCTGCATTTGATGATACAGCTAACTGATCAGCCAGCAATTCTTACTATAATCCCTCTGCCTTAGACCTAATGGAATTACAATCATTATTGTAAAAGGCCCTCTTTGTAAGTCCAAATGCATCCTCAAGAAAAATACTACACTCAAAAACTCAAAAACATTTATGTTAACAATTTTCAAACGCCTAGCTAGGAAGGATAGAACCATGTTTCAAAGACTGGAAAGTGAAGAATTATTCAAATGGTCAGTCAGTGATGGTGGAGGACTCGTGATGGGAATCCTATCTTCTACCAAGTTCAAACGAGCAGACATTGACAAACGCACGAACTAACTGTTTATCAGTAGCATGTGCATATTTGGTGGCTCATTGTTATCTGCCAAAGATTGGAGGGAAGACCTTAATACAGAGAGGAGCTGGAAGCTAGGCACAACAACAACACGTCTGGGGGCTAAATCAACAAAATTTTTACAATATCGTGATTTGACCGCAGGCATGCATGTATCCAAACCAAAGATTGGAAAGCATGGACTTCCTCAGATGGCAAACAGAATGAGTATTATCCAATGAGATTGTAAATAATTTACTCTAATAATTTTTTTTTTCAATAAGCCTCTAGAACTTTAGTTAGAGACAATGCATCAGTAAAGTGTATAATTTTCTCTATAAAGTGCTGAAGCACGTAATCCAAACTGGACATAGTATGTCCTGAGCAGAAGGAAGAATCGATCCTTCATGAGCTTTAGAGAATTGGATTACCCCACTATTATGTTCTCTCGTTTCTTTATCGTCGTTATGTCTATTTTAATCAGGTTATGGGTGTAGCCATCTGATAGGATGAAGCCAGGGACAACAATACGTATTTGTGGGGCTAAATCAAGATCATTTTTGTTATTGTCACTTCAATCGCAGGAGGAGATCAATTTAGAATAAAAGATTTGAAATTAACAAAAGACGTTTATTAAGTAAAGAATTAACTTTTTCTATAATGACAACATATACATTAGAGGTTCGGATGCATGATAATTAATTATAAACTGAACTTCAAATTTTCTGCGCATAATATGAATCTGTTTATGCTATGTGCATGAAAATATAACCCGTAAGTATATACCATACAACCATGGTAAAAAAAGAATTATTGAAAACTCCATCATTTGATTGTTTCCTCCTCCTCAGCCCCCCCCCCCCCCCCCCCCCCCCCCCCCCCCGGAGAGTTATTTCAAAAGTAGCCAATCGGTGTTAGTCTCGGGCACTTAACCATTCAAAAGGTTATTGAGTTGAGTATAAGTTATCCTTATTAGCAATAGAACTGTACAAAAACAACACGACCAATTTCAGTCCACACATAATGGCTTCTTCCCCACTCTTGTTTCCTCTCCTTTCATTTTCATCTGTTTCAGATTTTGTTAGCTTTTGAAGAATGTTATCATCAAATCTAAAACTAACTGAAACAGTTCAAGCTTGTGACCCTGCTCACTCAATGCCTTTCTACATACATCATTTTTTCTTTTTCCAAAATTGTCTAGTCTTGTAGTTTTATTTATAACCAATCAAAGCCTCATCTCTCTTGTTCATATGCCATAGATGGAATGTCATACAATTAGTAGTTGAAAGGGGCTCTTAGAATACACAAATGCTGATTGGGAGCCTGACTTTTTTAAGTGCTCATGATCTCCGCTTATATTCTATAAACAGGTCCAACAGGCCGAGTAAAATCCGGAAGAAATCACCAAAAAGCTAGTACAAAAAGGACCTTCATCATTGATGCTTCCCTATTCCTAATTGACGTTTTCATAGTGTAAAAAGAGGGGGGGAGTAAATGGTTATGGTGCATGTCTTATGTCTCTGAACTAGAGCGCACCAATGAATAGGGAAAAATCAACCATTGTCAGGACATTCACAACTCACCAGAATCCTGACTGCTTTTACTACAATAAAAAACGATAACTCATAATTGACATTTTAATATAGTGTGAAAAGATCAAGAAATTAATTCTTTTGATTCCATGGATCCCTTTTCGGAACACAAATCATGATTTATGCCTGACTTTGACTTCAACTTCAAAGTTAGGATACAGAACTATTCACTTACAAGAAGAGATTAGTTATCTTTAAAATTGGATAACTAAGTTGGAATGAACAGCATTTTCCATCAATTTTCATAGCTCGTAACAATCTTGTGACTTATGATTCAAGAGAAGGCAAAAACTGTTTACAATTACAATGGGGAGTTTTATCTTTTCATTATTTTTAGAATGTATTTACTGTTCTGAACTGACATTTTGTGGAGAATTGTCATCCTTGCAGATATTACTTAATGTTCTTGCAGATAACAAAGAAGACTCAAAATAGAATACGAAGAATCACGACATAAAAATCCAAAATTGAATAAGAAAATTAACGGTGTATTAATCTTTCCTCATTCTTCTGAGGAGAGCTCCGGAGATTTTTTTGTAGCCTTGAAGGGAAATACATCATTCTTAGTTGTTTCTTGGATTGAAGGCAATCGTCTTTAATTAGGAAGGTGGTATAATGCCTTGTCTAAATAATCTTTTTTTTTTTTCCAAATTTTTCTAACAATTTTTCTGTGCACATTCAAAAGGAAACAAGGATAAAGGAAAAGGAATACCAAAGTTGATGCTTAAGAGCTTTTTGCTAACTATAGTAGTTGTTGTGCTTTAGCTCCATAAAGAACAATTTATGCAGAATAACAATTTCACCATGATGAGTACTCTAATGCTTTACAAGTTTTTGGAGCACTAAACACTTTAAGAAATATGGCATTTAAAAAAAAAAAAGGGGGTAAATGTCAAATCTGAATTCTGTGGACTTGCAATTAATCCCTTGTAGCCAAGGTGATGAATCATAACTCATCCAGCATTAAGGATTTAGATTTGTTTAGTAATGAATGCTAACTAGTGCTCTACTTTTGATTAAGTTAAAGGCTGATGGAGACTCAAAAGACATGAATGAGTGATACTTAGCGTATGATTGTAGAAGATAATGAATGACATTTTGCTTCTCACCAACCGTGCTCCAACTTATGAGGTCTAAAAGTCCCAAGGTTCTGCAATCAATCTGATTCATGCCTGATTTACTAGTTGAGTGCAGATTCGATTTACAAAATTTTCTTGATTGAAAATATTCAATTGCGCATCTAAGATTGCTTAAACATGACTATCCCCACACTTTAACGTAATTAGGAAATAGATAAGGAGGGTGATAAAAAAAAAAAAAAATGAAAAAAGTTCAAGGGACATGAAACAAAACATCGAGAAAGGAATTATAAGCGCTGATTGCACACACAAAGTACACAAGGGAATGATCTTATGTTGTTTTTATGGTTTAATCCTTTATCTATTTGATCAGATAATTTGTGCAATATTTTCTTTTGTTGAAGTTTCTATGAAGTAAAAGGAGTAAATTGAGACATGGTCGTAATTAAGGCAGTTAGCTCCAAACATACTTCTTTTTTAAGTCTTATCCCATTCTTTCTTTCAAAAAGATGCATGATTATACGTGTATCATTTTGTTGATACCAAATCTAATGTGAATTATTATTTAAAGGGTCGATGGAACTTTGGAAACGTCAACAAGCTACAAAAATTCCACTTCCTACTTATTCTATAATGACTACAAACAACAAATTGCTAATGACATCTAGCCATGTCTTTGTCTAAATCATCGTTGTCATTTTCGTTGTCA